CGAGTGAGCGGGCATGGGCGGCGGCGGGCAGAACGCTTTGGCCACCGCGCCGCCGTGCATCACCTCCAGTCCGGACCGAATGATCGGGTTGGTGGACGGGTCCGGGGCCGCGGCCGTTTCGCACGACGAAGCGGACGACGACGACCGGCGGCTGCTCTTGGCCGCGCTTTGATGGCCGTGATAGTCGTCCCGCGGCGACGTGGATTTACGCTTCTTCCTGTGCTGGCCACCGCCGCCGTTGTCCTCCGAGCTGCTACTCTTAGGGCGGCCGCCGTCTTCATCGTTTGGCTGGTGATGATGGTGTTGATGCGAGTTGCTGTGCTGTTGCTGCTGCGGCTGCTGGTGATGCGGCGACGGCGTTAAAACGGTATTCTCGTACGGTTTGAAGTTCAACTTGGCCGGCTTGGGCGGTTCGTCCATGTAGTTGTTGTTGTGGTTCCGGTGGTGCTTGGCAGCCGCGTGGCCCATGTACGTGGCGGCTGCAGGCGACGCGCTGTGCGGCCTATCAGCCGCCGCGGCCACGGGCGCGGTGGCGGCAGCGGGTTTCTTCGACTTAGCCGCGGCTGCCATCGGCGGGTCGGCTCCGATCTGGCTGCACGTGCGCACCAGCATGGCGAGCGGGCTTGTCTTCGAATCCAACTGTGAACACACAAAACGGGTAGGTTTTAGTCGAGAGGGCGCGCAACAAGTCGCGGCTGCGGTCGGCGGACGGCCGTGATGGGTCTGCAGGGGTTGCTCACCCAAGAGTGGTGGGGGGGAGGATAAGACAATTACGTTATAATTGCTAAGCGTTCGTTACCATGCGGAACACGCGAACAGTCGTAATAATGTGCGCTTCGTATACCGCGTTGCCGGAGGGTATTTACGATTTATATAAATATAATATTTCGCGTGCACTACATTAACATTTTGACTGCTCCGTGTTCATCGGCGCACGGGAAACGATTACGATCATTAACGCGCATTCCGTCTGAAACCGAGAATAATTCGTTGTTAATAATTTAACCTACAATCTTACCACGTACGATTATTTTTTTGTACCGAACTGTACAACGTTAATTGTAATTGTATCGGTATCACAAGATCGTTCAGTAGTACGCGCATTAATAGTTGAAATTTGAATAATAACGCAGTTTCTTTAAAATACCGAATCTCGCAGATATGAGTCGTTCATATCTGTATTGCAGATCGGTGACCAGAATTCATAGTGCAATATATTATTATTATTATTATTATGATGTTATGAAAGTTTAAATCAAAACTTTAGAAAACCGATTAGAAAAATGTATATAGTTTGTTTCCATTGTCTGATTTATTATCATCGATACCCCACTAACGCTATTATACGATAATTATTTGAAAAAAACTTTGTAGTCGACTAGGCTCACTGAAACGAACAGACTCTTGAAAAGCGTTAATGTACGTTGACAACTTCTGAGTTTGTAAAATTATGTCTAAAACTAATTAGGGAAATAAAATACAATAAATGAATACTTTGTAAGCGAATAGTTTTAAAGAATATTACATAGGTACTAAGATTTTAATAATGTAGTAACGATGACATTGACATGATTTCCGATTGAATTAAATTTACCTACTTCGGCTAAGTATTATTATTATTAATATTAGTTGACGTGTGAACGCAGATGTCGACAGCCGATGTCGTCACATGTCGTATCGCATTGTAAACACAGTTCTAATAATAATATACTATATTATTTGCATTTTTAATAATAATGTGTCGTTTACTGATTAGTTATTTGTTTAAAAAATGTAATCGAAAAGCAAACGATTTCTACCGGTAATTAATAATTTATATTAGTCTTTAATTTTAAAGCACAGAAAATATGGTGTTTTAAACAACAGAACCAATTTTGAAATCAACATGTAGTATTCAATAACAGTTTTCGCAAATTTATTGTATTCTAAATGACCGAATATAGTAAAAAAAAACCGTATTTCTATCCTTATATTTTATCCTTTATTTCTATTTTGGCCATACATAATGTACAACAATCATGAACTAATCTGTCATGAGTCATGATAGGGTATACGAATTTACCTGTATGTTGCTTCTTTAGATATTAATAACGACAAAAAACAGTTTGACTTAAAAATTAATAAAATACAATTTATCAAAATAAAAAAAAAAAATCTACGAATTCATAAAATAATTAGAAATTCCTTGTTTAATAATCTTTACCTACCTATATCTATATACTATTGATAATGTGTAGTGAATATACCAAATTATTAATTAAATGAATAGACCTTTTGCTATAATTTCGAGTACCTTTTGATGGAGTGCTTTATAATGTCAGTCCGGAAATCCCGTAAATATTTTCACAGAAAATTTTAATAATTAATGCAGCTCAATAAAAAACGAAGTTAAAAGTATGTAGATAATATTATAAAAATTCATGACTTTTATTTGATATTCTCTACATATAATAATGATACATATGATATTTAATTTGGATTAAGCTTAATAGTAAAATCAAAATAAAATTCTAAGTTATATTTGTTTAAAATTGAATATTATAAAAATATTAATTAAAAGCATCAATATTTTAATCCCACTAACGTTCAAAATCCTATAATTATTTAATACTAAATGCAGGGCTGGATCTAGGAACTTTTATACTAGAGTGAAGAAGTAAAAATACGGTATTTTTTGTACGTACATAAATTCCAATAAACTAGATTTAGAAGATAGTCTTTCGTTGTAGAATAAATTCAATAATGTTGTTAGATACCATCCGTATTCGATGACGACATTTCGTAGTTATTTCAATGTCGTTTCATCGTGATTTACCAATTTAAAAAACGTTTAAATATAAAATCTTACTTATTACCATCGGTCATACATTTATAACAATAAAGACTAATTCGAACATTTTTACATTTTTATTGAAATTTAATTTTTCTAGATGCAATTAATTTATGACATGTTTAGAAAAATAAAAAATAAAATGTACATCTTTAATAATTGAGTTAGTTTTACGCCCATGTTTAAATCGCCACCTCTTCCACGTATATCCCGTCCCCGACTCCATGGATTAATAAAGAAAACTACCTACGACAAAATCTTTATAAAATGTGTATTTCCAATAATTTAAACGTTATTAATTTGTATGTTATTTGTTTTCAACAATATTTATTAGATACATCAACGGATAGCAGTAATATTATTGCGTATGTATCACGTAATTATCTTTGAACAGAAAAGATTGTCAAAAGTATTGAAAATCATGAAAAATCATTTCGCTCGATTACGGTGCGCGTCAGCGATAATTAATAATAAACTGTCGTCACTTACCGAAGCTAAAGAAGTATCCTGTATGTATTGATATTGATTGCTCTCCGAATTCGTGTCCATGATTGCCATAGTAGAACGGCCGACGATTGGAACGCACTTCACAGACTAATGTTATTCCTTTTTGCGGTTCGTCAATATGTGCGATAAAAAAAAAAAAAAACCACTATGTTTCCAAAGGAAGAGCACACACTACGGGCGAACACGAAAAATACGAACAGCGAACGGAACGCAAACGTCAAGGCGGTCGGACGACAACTGCTCTCTGACGAGCGGACAGGAGCGCCGATACACTGGCAAACGAGACCGAGCGGTTAGGAACACTCGACCGACGCGCGCTCCAGCGGCCCACCGCTGGCGATACGATAATTCCTCGTGCCCGATAAATACCGTATCGCGGGCGAACGGCGTACCGCGGATGGTATGGTAAACGTTTGTACGCGCGTCCAACGTTTTTGGCTAGTCCAGCAGCGGTTCATAAACCTTCTGCAGATCGCCGACCCGTGATGAAAGATTTTTTAGAATTTGCGGACTCTTCCCTTACCGATTTTTTTTTTTTTTTACAGAACATGCTATCTTAACCAATATTGCCTTGAACTTTCGCGAAAACCGCGGAGCGCCTTTTATAAACCGACAATGCAAATGTTAAACAAAAACTCGTTGTATCGATTATTCGCTCCGTAGTTTGTTTAAACGAAACGCGTAAGTGTTGGTTGTCGTCAGACGGATACATGGGCGTCCCCAGAATTTTTTTTTATGAGGGGAAGGCAAAATTAATTTAAAAAATGAATTAAGATTCTTTCATACGTTTTATTTATACATTATTCTTTTTCCTTAAATATAAGATATACGATTAGATAAAACAGTCCAATAATTATTAAAGATAGTTTTCTTGTGTATATACAAAATATGTTATATTAAAGTAATCTATGTTCACTAAATCGGCACGATACAGATAATGATTTGGAAAACGAATTTAAGATTTTAGAGGGGGGCAAGTGCCTCGTCTTGCCCCCTACCCTAGGGACGCCCATACCTGCATAGCGCAGTCAGAGGACCGCTGAGAAGAACGTTGCAAATTAAATGTGAGTAAAACGTCCGTCGTGGACCCGTTTCGAAGTAAGTACTGCAATGTTATGCGTACGGAACGCGGTGGCAATATGACAGAGCGTGTACGCAACACGGCAAAGATTTAGGCGAAAATGTCGTATTCCAAACGGATATTTTTACGATTTCAACGGTGACCGTATTGTTTTCGTTATTGAATACGTCACGCGCGTGACGAGAACAGTGACGGACTGGAATAAAAAAGCCCGGGGTGCAAAAACATTTTTAGGGCCCTATCAACATTCTATAAAATAAAAAAAACATATAATGCACTTTCTATTTTATTCTCAGCAAATTGTTTTAATGTATTCATTATAGTACATACTTATTTTCTGAAATAAGAAGAATTTCAGTTTTTAAACAATAGGACTGTATAAACTTAATCTTAATAGTGTAAAATAAATTTAATTTTTTTTATAATAGTTACATTTTTATCTTTTGAAAACAATTAATAAACATCTTGTATTATATTTGTGTATATAAAATGTATAATTTTTAAAAATGTAATAATTTTGAAAATGTTGTAGAAATTTCTGAAATTTTATCAATTATACTTTCTGTATCAGGCAAATAATCGTTTTCTATACTTAGAAGAAGTTGCGCGTTTAATAAATCTTGTTCCATTGTTGAACGTAATCTGTTTTTTATAATTTTCAACTTGGAAAATGCCCTTTCACAATTTGTTTGTGTGCATGCCAGAGTTAATATATATTTATATAATATATATAAATTTGAATACGCTGCTGAATGCAAATTATATTTTTGTAAAAGTTTAAAAACGCATGGTATGCATTCTTCACAATCATTTTTTTTAATTTTAGATTTAGAAAAGTCGAAATATTTATCATCGCCATTGTTGTCATCACTACTTTCATCTTCGATTTGTTCACTATTTACTGGTTTATTTATCGATTGTACTATCGGTTTTTAAATGTGTTGGTCTTGCAAAAAAATTAAGTTTTGTTTGTTTTGGATCTCTACTCGATAATTGTAATTCTTTCTCAGACCGAATTTTACGTTTTTCAGCTCCACTTTTGTGCTTATAATATTTGTCTGCCATTATAAGCGTATACTTCAATACCAACTCTAAAAAATGAATGTTTCAAATTTTTTAATTTAAATGCATCGTATTCAAAGTATCACAAAAATAAACATCGTTAAGTTAAAAAAAAAATGTTGTGGAAATAAAAAAGAGTTTTTTGTTTTTATTTCATTAGAATCATCTGTTGGAGTGTAAATATAAAATATAAATGCAAATATAAAACTTAGATATACTATTTCAGGACAATATTTAATACTAATATAATAATTTGATTTCGATAAAAAATAATAATTTAAAACATTAATGGTTTTTTATATAGGTTATAGGTAGTTAAAATAATGTGGACTAACTTTATTTAAAACAAAATATGAACATATGACTATCGTGTCGTCACAGACCTGGATTAAGGGTCAATTAATTGTACGAGTATCATATCTATTTTTACTGCGTCGTTGGTATTGATTGTGGTCGGAAGAATAACAACAACGATGACGACCGTTAATTTTATTGTGATTTTATTAAACACTTATGTCATAGAATAATAATTTATTATAGAAATGTCAGTGATCACCGTTTTGTGTTTACTGTTTATGGCAAATTTTTAATATTTGAATTCTCGATTGCTGAAGTGCTGAACGGCCAACGCTGGTATATTTAACCCTTTCAGTCCCGAATTATAACCTGATGGAAAAAAAATATTTCATGTGTTCTTTGCATTAAACAAACTCAAATTAAGAGAAATTTCGAGTTTTGAAATTTTTAGACTACCCAAACTTGAATTTTGGTGACTTATCATTATAATGGCATTTGGGCGTTAGATAGAAAAACTTACGTTGCCAATATAATGGCATTTGGGATTTAAAATATAACACACTATATAATATAAATAACCTAATTAAGCTTTATTCATACTTTATCATCACTAAGCAACAGAATATTCAAAACGAAATAACGAGTAGGTACCCGACGAGATTCGGATAAACAATAAATGATAACAAATTACGAAGCGGCGAAACGCACGTGCACGGTGCACTATCACAGAATAATATAATCAGTTATTATAAAAAATTTGTATAATTTAATACGTATAATCCGGGCCTGCCTGCCGACAATATCTATGTATATTATTTCATAATTATTAATAAATAGAAAAAATGTATTGATAGAAAAACTTTTAAAAAATGAATATAAGTACCTGTTTTTCTAGCAGACAGCAGTCAGTACTTTAGCAGGTCAAACGAAATTGAATAGTTATCGGCGAATCGACGTTATCGTCACTCGTCAACGTTGTCGGTCGTAATAATATAAAATGTGTGTGAGTGTGTCCATACGAATATAATAATATGATATGCTATATATATCTTTATAGCATGCGGAAATGTCAGACGATAATAATTAATAATAGAAACATTATATTATCTTAAATTCCCAAAATTATATACCTACGAAATACGAATTCAATAGTTGGTTATGTACTTATGTCTATTTTAATCATTTACAATTTATACTTTTGTATTATTTATTTTAATATTATGTTTTGATAATAAATACAATTAATAATAAGAATAAAATGTGATGGTGGCAAATAATGATAAAGTAATTATTTTCAATATAAAAAACCTTTTTTGTTTTTCTATGGGCCCGGGGTGCGATCGCACTTTAGCACCCCGGGCCAGTCCGCCACTGGACGAGAATACAATCCCGCGGAGAGGACTTGTGTCAAAATATTAACACGACGATAGTTGTAGAAAACCACCCCGAGTGTATAATAAGAATAATAATAAAATAATAACGCGATACAGTTCGAGGGTGTAGTACGAATGAGTGACGACATCGGTGGGGTTTCGGGAAACCGCGTGACAAATAACGAGTGAACAATCGCGGACGTCGGCGTAGCCTTTGGCGCACGCACTGGGGGGTGCCGGGTATGTCCGGGTACCCCCCAAAATTTTGTAAAAACGGTTCTACAATTCAAGTCCAAGAATGACCCGTATTTCAACTGATGTCGATAGAATTAAATGTATTTTAATGAAAAACAATTGGTAAAAATAAATAATGTTTCGTAATAGAAAAACTTCAATCAAATGTTCTAAATTTTCGGGCAAAAACTGATTGTGATAATAAAGTTACAGTTGACAAATACGAATCATAAATAATTGAACCTATCCAAGAACATTTTACGAGATTCACGGAAAACATATTCATATTTTATAGATAATTTAAGTTATGTTTATTTAATAATTCATAGACAACTCATACAATCGAAATAACTTTTATTGAACACATAATCAATTTCGATGAAATCGAAAATAACAAGAAGGATCGATCATTACTTTAACTGTTCCTCGTTGCTGGTTTTAACCTTGGTTATTTTAATTTTTTTTCGTGAAGAAAAATTTGTAAATTTTTATGCTCGTTAATATCGTTGAAATCAGTCGTTAGTTTTAAAAATATAAATTGACGTGTGTCTCGAATCTCGGTCAGCATAGATTGACTTTGATAAAATACTGATTGACAAGTTGAAAGATCGTATCGGGTCACTTGGAAACTTATATCAACATTTTTTACCCGCTGGAATTGCATGAATAACTCATTACTTATAATTCTTCGCAATCGTCTATAGTTACTGATGCATACTTTACAAACGAAAATAAAAATAAGGAGTTCTATGCACTATAGTATGTAATAACAATATTGAAATAAAAAAACCTCCAAAAGGAATTAGTTCCCTCGGAGTTCGAACTTTCCTGAAATACATGATTCACGACACGATATTGAGTTTTTGTTACCGTTGTTCGTCAATACGTAGAGCTACTCCAGAGTGGATCTGGCCCAGAGGGTGTCGCAAAACCCGGACCGAAAAACCTCCGTCTGTAGGTCTGTCCGACGCAGACAAACAACGTGCACAAATAATAAAATGTCGAGTACAATATTGCGCCAACGAGTGTTCATAACAATCATAGCATTAACACGATAGGTTAATGGAATATTGGATTCCGAAAATCTGGATTTTCAAACCTCGACAAACCGACATTTTCTCAATCGCTAATAATCTAATAGCCGGTCAGGTGTGAACATACGTGACTGACGACCACACCGAGGGCCGTAGCAACCCCGATATGGCGCCCGGGGTGAAATTTCA